CAGACAAGGGACGAAGCTGCTTCACCCACAGGGCAGCCTCCTGCTGTGGCTGTGCATAGATGTGGGCTCAACTTTGCCAAATTATACTACTGTTCAGTGAGCCAGAAACTCTCCTGTGTACAGGAATTTAAATTTTTGCTAATTCTCCGAGGGCTGCTAGTGTCTGAAACTTCTGCCCAGTAGCATTTTAGGTAAATCCTGCTTGTTTAGTGTTCAATTTGCCCCCAACTAGTATAAAATGTTCCTCAAATTCCCTGTAGGGCAGGACCAGACAGGTCCACCCGATCCACTGGTGCTTAACCCCTGGGAAGCCACATGGTACTCCTCAGGATGCCAGGTCAATTCATAAGTGGATTACTATGTGACTGACACACATGAGTGACTGAGGGCTGCTTCCAGGGAAGTCAGGATTCCTGGGGCATTGAAACAAGGAACCTAATGTTCACTCCCACACCTAGGCTTGGCAACCCTACAACCATGTGTCAGTGGCTTTACAGATCTTGTAGCCAAGGGCCCACGTGGGCCTGGGGGGCCACTAAGAGGCTAACGGGTGAGTACGAATGGGCCTGCCCCAGGCTAGACAAAGTTTGACAGTTTCTCAACTTTTGACTCACCCATGACATCCAGGATTCTTGGTTGCAAATTATGAGAAAAATCCAATCTCATCTGAATAAGCCAGTACATGAAAATAATTCAATGGTTCCAGTATCCAGAAAGTTTCTAGTAATCCAGTCTTAGGCATGATTGGATACAGGGCCTCAATAGATCAGAAGCCTGCCTCCCAGCACCTCTGGCTCTGCTCTCCAGGAAGAACTTCCCTCTAAAGCAGGTCAACTTATGTGGCAAGATGGCCTCATGGCTCCAGGCCCACTTCCAGTCAGCCTAGCAACTCCTGAGGATTGTCATTGGCCTGGCTTGGACCATATGCCTGTGCTTAAACCAATCATATAGCCAGGAATGTGGGGCTCTGATTGGCCAAGTCCCTCTCTCCCATCAAAGTGCAGAGGGTGTTGCTTAGAGAAAAATGTTGATCCCTGACCAGAAGGGAGATGCCAGAGCCTTCTCCCTCCAAGCCCCTCCTCTGTTTTGCAGCTGTGCCTGTCTTCAGAAACCCAAAAGGAGGAGATTTAAATTAGAGCTGGGGATATGGTGGTCGAACAAAAAACAAAGCACTCTTGTGCCTTTGCCCATACTGAGGGAGCAGCTTGTTGCTGCAGATCTGGCCCCATCAATACCCCTGACCTGGTCACACACACCCCTACTTCTAGAAATGTCTTCAAATTAGTCTCTGTTCCAGGCAACCATGAGTTTAGCACAGAATTCATAAATGTCAGCTGCCATTGTTGCTCTATTAAATTCTAAATTTAGAGACCAATTTTAATTTTCACTGGCATTTTTTATTGATTACAGCATTCAGAATAAAGAAAGGTTGACTGAGATTGCTCCCCAGTATGAGAGGAATTTAGGCCTGAGCTATAACCATTCATTGGTCTGCAGTCTTCCTGCCCCGGAGCCCATACATAGCAGTGAGCATGATATAAGCAGTAACCAAGCCCGGGAGAGCACGAATTTGGGCCCTTCGCTCTGGCTGGCCTGTCAGGCTTGTGCAGACAGATTTCCTGGGCTGAGGGAGGACAGGAGCCAAGCCTCTGGGGCTTTCCCACACTCGGGTTCCCCAGAACTGGGCTGCAGCTACTCTGTTTAACAACCTGATCCTGTTTATCCTGCCTGGTCCCCACATGATGGCTCGCACTGGCCCCTCTTTTAGTTTTCCCATGTGTAGCCTCACAAGGTGCCCCTCCTTTGTCTCATTCAGGCTGCCCAAGAGCCAAACCTCTCAGCCCCACTATTAGACACAGTCTTCACCTTTTATGCTCAGCCTTCTCTGCAGCGGAGCTTTTAACTTTCTGTTAAGATGCCCTTGAAGAGCTGGTAAAAGTTATGCAAGTATGCCCAATAACGTGCATACAGGCCCATCGATAGGACTGCATTGTCTGCAGGCAGCTTTCTGGGTCCCTGAAGCACCATGTTAAGGAATCCTATCTGGGAAGAACTTCCCCTTTGAAGTATTCATGCTCTTACTTCTCCAGGACCTTTATATTCAGTCCTTACTTCTTTCCTTATTCCTCCACCATCATCAGGGCTTGGGTCACATATGACGCTAAGTGAAGCCCCCCCACAACTTCCTATGTGAATGGCAATGAACACATATTGAGCATTTAAGTATGTGCCAGATACTGTTGCAAGTGCATTGTGGGTATTAATACATTTACTTTTCACTGTACTAATTAATCTGCATTATCTCACTTAATCTTCATAGTGACTAGGAAGTAACCACCACTCAGATGAAAACATAAAACAGGTTTAGTGCCCAGAAGTTTCCCGTGTGTACCCCCATGTTATTACCACTTTGCTTCAGAAGCAACTACTGTTCCAATGACCAGTCACCCTAATTTTTCTTTTTTTGTTGTTTCTATTTCCTCTCTCTTTCCCATGGTTATGGGACTTGAACCCAGGGCCTTGTGCATGTTAAACATGTGTTCTACCACTGAAACACATTTCCAGCCCAATTTTCCTTTTCATAAACTTCAAATAAACGTAAACTTCATACACACGTGCCTAGCTTCTTGTGCTCAACATTATATGAGATTCATTTGTGTTTCAGTGATTTGTATCTTTTATTGTTGTATAGTATTCCACTAAATGAATACAACAAAATTTATTTATCCACTTTATTATTGATAGAAATGTCAGCTCAGATCTGGGGTATCTGGAACTCTCACTCTTTTCTGATGAGAGTATACATTGCTACAGCTATTAAAGAAGACTCCCTTTTCAATAAGTTACAATAACTCATTTATTGTGGGCCAGGCACTGTGCTTAATTCATCTCACTTAATCCTCATAGTGACTAGGAAGTAGATAGTTGTCATCTGTGAGACGGGAATCAAGGTATCAATGTAATATAATTATTGTGAAGTTTAACTGAGATGACACTTTGAAGGGCTTAATCTAAAGCTGTCATTTTGAAAATGCTACCAATACCTGTTATTGTTACTACCAAGGAGCACAGGGTTGGCAGTTCAGGATCTTGGGTTTCATGCCTATATAAGATGTCTTAAGCAAGTCATCTTTGCAGCCTTGGCCTTAAGCCAATATCCTATTCAGGACCTCTGGGGATGACACAAGCTTCTCTTCAATAAACCCTAGGCAATGACTGTCTTATTCAATGAAGACAGTCATGGAAGGAGACAAGACCAAGACTGTAAATGAGGAGGAGGCTTGGAGGTTTTCAAAGCCCTGTTACATACTTTCTCTAGAAGTTGAGTACAGAAGGTACTTGCAAATGATGATCAATTAATACCTGCTTCTCACTAGCTTGTAAGCTCCACGGAGCATGGTCAGTGTTTTCAGTCACTCATTCACAAATACCAGTGTAGCCAGTTGTGGTGGACTGTTCCATAATCCTGGTGGTTCAGGAGGCTAAGGCAGTAGAATCCCAAGTTCCATACCAGACTCAGCAACTCAGCAAGGACCTAAGCAACTTAAAGACACTCTGTCTCAAAATAAAATACAAAAAGGGTTGGGAATGTGGTTCAGTGGTTAAGCACCCCTGGCTTCACTTGCTGGTACCAAAATAAAAAATACGATCAAAAGTGTTCCCTTTCCTCCTCAGATGTCAAGATCTGAGGAATACAGCAGTGAACTAGACAGGTGAGGCAAGGAGCGAGAGACAAGGAAATAAAGCAAGAAACATGGTGGCAAGTGCTGTGAAGAGGTCAGTGGAGAGGAACTCCGGGGGAGAGTCGTGTTTTAGATGAAGGGGTCACCAAGGACTTTGAAGTTCACAGGATGAGCTACTCAAATGGGTCAAAAAGGAACTGACAAGCTCCAAGGCCCAGAGGTGAGAAACAGAAGGTGGGGGGAGAGAGGGCAGGGTTCAAGACCAGGTCTGAGGCCAGTGAGGCGAGTATCCATGGAGCCTTGTACCCCAGAATGATGCATGTGTATTTGATCTTAAGGTTGATGAGAAACAACTGGGAGGTTTTAAGCGAGAGATGGTTGCACGGGGATCCTAGTGTCAGAAGGGTCTTTTGATGCTTAAGGTGGAGGGGGGGTGGGTTGCGGAAGAGAGACGTGTAAAGGAAGCAGAATGTGAATAGTTTGAATGATGAATGAATGCACTAATAAGATGAATGGACACGCGGCCAGGAATAACACGTGGCCCACAGGAGATCACAGACTCAGCGGCCTGAAGCCCAGGCACCAGGCACTGTGACCTTGGGGACATCCACGCCCCGCACTCAAGGCCCGGAACTCTGCGTCTCAGGGGCGGGGAGGACGTGCTAGGAGGGCAGTGCGCGCGCGCGCGCGAGGCAGACGGACGACGGGTTCTCCGCTCCGGGGTTCTCTCGTGCATCAGTCCGGCCAGGACCACCCAGCCGGGTCCCGAACCCTCGCAGGCAGCGGTGTTTACATTCCACCCGCGCCGGCCACGCGGCTCTCAGCAGCCGCAGCACCGGTGGGCTCCGCCCCTCGGCCCGCCCCTCCGTGCAGCTCCCGCCAGACTTCTCCCGCGTCAGGCCCCGGCACGGCCCCGCCTCCGACCGTGCGCGCTGGCCGGCCCGCTCGCTCTCCCGCGTCCCACCCCGCGCACACAGCCTTGTGGTCCCGCCCACCACGTCCCGCGTCCTGTCCCTCCGGCGCGCAGGCCCTGTCATTTAACCCCGCCCCTGCGCGGGTTCCGCCGTAGGACCCGCCCCAGAGACTCCGCCCCTGGGATGGCCCCGCCCCCGATCTGGCCCCGCCCCCAGCGGCCCTGAGCGCCTCGCTGGCCTGCGCCGAGGCGGGGGCGGTCCTGAGGGCGGTGGCTGGGCGGGCCCTGGCCCTGGGGCTGCCGCTGAGGGGCTCCGAGCCCGGGCGGGGCGGGGCAGAGGTAGCTGGGAGGCGCGAGGGCGGGCCGGGGCCGGTTCCGCGCGCAGGGATTTTTAAATGTCCCGCTCTAGGCGGGGCGCAGGAGCAGCCGGCTCGGCAGCCAAAGCGGTGTAGGGGGCAGGCGCGGATCCCGCCACCGCCGCGCGCTCGGCCCGCCGCCGCCTGCCGCCTCCCGCCTCCCGGCTTCCCGCTCGCCTCCGGCCTCCTGCCTCGGCTCGTGCGCGCCTGCCTACCGCGGGGACCGCTTCGGGTAAGGCCCCGCTGCGGACTGCGGAGACTGGCTCTTCGGGCGGAGACTCCCAGAGCACCCGGGTCGGGCCGGGTCGGGCCGGGAGTGGGGGTGGGGCGAGGCCGGGTCGCCGGGTCTTCTGGTCCCGGAGGCGTCAGCGCGGGGTGCCCCGGGTAGGGTGGCTCAGAGACGGGTAGGAGAGGTGTTGAAGGAAAGACTGAGGCAGCCCGGGCCCAAAGGGAGAAGATGGGACTGAAAGGTTTCGGGGGTCGTCTGGACCCCCATCTCCACTACGGGTTCGGACCCGAAATCTCGGGCTGCTGGCGGCGCCGCGGGTGACAGGCCACCCCGGGCCCATCGGCCATTTTCCCGACCGGCCCGGGAGGCTCCCGCCGCCGTCCGCGAGGGAGGGGGGAGGGGTACCCGGGGCAGGCCCGCGGGCCCTGGCCCCCTCCGCCCGCCGGTGGTCTTCACCCCGCTGCCCGCTTCGTGCCCCCCAGGTCTGAAGTCGTAGCCAAAGCCAGAGCCTGCGCCATGCCAAGGGAAAGGAAGGAGAGGTGAGTGGCCTGGCTGCAGCGAAGGGTAGGGTGTGCAGCCGTGGGGGAGGGGCTGTTTAAGATTTGGGGAGAACTCATCTCAATTTCTTTGCCACCATGGCTTTGCAGAGATGGGAACGAACGGGACCCTATGAAAGAAGAAGGTGGCACTGACTTCTCTGTTCGCTCCAGGAAAAGGAAGGCAAATGTGGCCGTTGTGAGTACAAAGGGGACAGATTGGAGATTATAACCCCCCCCCATCTTACCTGGGTACCAGACATGGGTCTGCACACATACCTATTGATGGGACTTGGTGCGTGGGGGGGGGGTGTCACTGCCAGAAATGGTACTCATAATCAACCCCCCTCCCCTTCTCTCTTTTTTTGTCTTGGGTTGTTCTGTGTTTCTTGGGGATTGTGGATTGTTTTATGTTAGTTTTTGCAGGATCCAGATGAAGAAATTGCCAAAATTGACAAGACTGTGAGAGACCAGTGTGGCAGTCAGGTAAGTGGCCTCCCATTAGGCCTCATGGAGGGCCTCCAGCTCTCCTGGGTCCATCTGGGTTTTAGACTTTCTTGTCTCCTGTTGAAGATACTGGTTTAGAGTTGGTTTCTCTAATTAGAGCCACAGTCCACATGGTTGAGTACTGTGACTGTCAGTGCACACTGTCCTTTGCTAGCCTTGAGATTCCAGGAAGGGCTTGTGTGTCTTGATGGCTCTCCCTGAGGTTGCAGATATGTGCTAACACCTAAAAGAACCAGAGTGCACATCAAATAACTCCTTTTTCCCATGAGGAAACTGGGATTCAATTAGAGGAAGAAAGCAACCCAGAGTCTGTAAGCAAGTGAGAAGCAGAGTTGGGCCTATAATCTTGTCTCTAATGGCTAGTGAACTGGGTGGGGTAGGGCTCCTGTGTGTTGTCCTCTTCCTCCCCATCCACACCTGTGCAGTTTTGTTTTGCTTTGTTTTTTATTTGTTTTTTGTAATGGTGCTTTAGTACTTCTCATTTCCTTTAAGTCAAGTTTCAAAGTTTTACCCCTTTTGTGGCCCTGAATGTTCCTGCAGCCCATTCAGCAATCACCCCACATGGATCAGTTCTTTTGGGCTTAACCTGGCTTCAGCAAGAGTATTAGTGGAACATTCTGGGTAATGGTCTGTGTGTCAACTCATTTTTTTATTGACTACTCCAATTCTCTTGCCCCTCCTTATGGAGTTCCTGCCAAATTTCCTGTATGCAGTGTGATATCATTGTAAACATCAGAAGTTCCTTGCAGAAAGAGCTTGTATTATCTCTTTACCTCCAGAAATGGCTGGAGTCTGCAGTTAGGGCTCCAATGGGGGAAGCAGACTATCTCCAAACTAGCTAGTCAGGCCTTCTGCCTCTATCACAGATAAAAAGCTGAGCAGGAACAGTACTTGACCTGAGTGTGGCAGTAGTCCCAATAAGGTTTGCAGTAGACACACATCACTTTGTAAAGCAGTGAGCAATAGCCATGGTAGCTGGTCTGAAAGAGCAAAGTGCTTCAAAGTAATGGACCATGTTGTTTGTAATAGCAGTTGTTACTATATATTAATACCCTAGTTAAAAGCATCTCTGGGAAAGACCACTGAATATTGAATAAGGAGTTGATTTTCGTCTCTGTTAAAAGAAATGCTTCTCTGCAGGAAAGGAAGTAAGACAGTCATCCAAAGTCATTTCTTCTTTTTCTCCCCTTAAAAGAGCCTTCAAATCAAGCAGGTTGATTTTTGTGGGTATTATAAAATGAATCCCTGCTTTGTGAAATTCAAGATTATTTCTTTTCTCCAGCTGTGTTTTGAATAGAAATTTCCAAGATGAAGCAAACCCATCCATATATTGACTTGGAGTTTCTGTTCTCATTGGCATTTCTGTTCTCAATATATAACTTGAACATTGTTTAAGTGCCTCAGATAGGACTGTGGCATTGTATCTGGGTGGCTGAGAGGTGATAACTGTGATGCATGAACAGCCATGTCATTTCTCCCAGGAAGGCATTTTCATGGTTGTCCACAAATTAATCAATAGTTTCTACACATCTTAGAGAATAGATGGTATCTTGAAAATTATCCACCTATTTATGGAGCATTTTTGTTTTTTCTCTGTAAAGATTTCATGAAGCTAGAATTGGGGGGTTCAACAGATTTTTTGCCTATTAAGAAGAGTTTTCTCAGCCTACTATAACAAATTTGAGCTAGTAGAAGCCATTGTGCCTTTGTACTTCCTCAAGACCACATGGAAGTTTTGGTGATTCTTACCTTAGGCCATTCTTAATGAACAGAGTGCCCTTTTATCTAAAATCTATTTCACATGTCCATTTTGTTTAATTTTCACATAAGACCCAACTTTTTTGTTTGAAATGGAATCCTGGACTATTAGTTATTTCTCAGAAAATTTTGCAGAAATAAAGTTAAGTAGTTAGCAATAGTCACAGTTGGTCTCTTGCTGTTGTCCTGTTCTTTCCTAACTAAAGTCAGACTGATCTTGCTTCCTTTGAAACTTGGTATACACTGAAGGTGAAGGACATTGATTTAATTATTCTGACTCATCCACTGGCTCTTAAAAAGGCCACCTTTGGAAGCCATTTGTCTGCTTGTGGTACACCTAATTTGTCTATGAACTGCAGGTTGGGAACTGCTACCGGTTAGTTTTATCTGCATAAGCCTGCACTCAGAAGTGCCAGCCATCTGGCCTAGGAGGGTGACACCCAACTTGTGCCTTCAGAACCAGAATTCATTCTTGAACAGTTGTAATGTGAACCTTTAGTCAAGGAAATGCTACCAACATATGATACTAGAACCAAAAGGAAGTTGCCTTTCTTTCGCAGCTGTTGGCAGGAGCTGTCATGGATAATTTGCATGCCCAATTGTTTCTGCATTGAGTGGGGAAGAGCTTTATCCAGCTTTGCCCTTCTCACTAGACAAAGCATTTGGGTTTGCTCTGAAGATGGCCTGTTGCTGTGGCAGCCACTGTATTGAACATGTATTGAACAACTATAATGATAGGACTGTGGCATTATATCTGGGTGGCTGAGAGGTGATAACTCTCAGCCACCCAGATACAACATGGGTTGTCTTCAAGGGAGCACTTAGAGCAGAGTTTCCATGTTCATTATAGTTGTTCCAGGTGTCTATTTTGTTCTCTAGTCAACATAATGATCTCTCTGTTTTAAAAAAATGACAAGTGGCTCAGATAGTACTTCCATGCTAGCAGGATTGTCACCTGCCTAATATCTTCAGTTACAATTTTACAACTTTAAAAATTAAAATAATTCTTTCTATAGTAGGATGGTAAATAGTGACTTAAAAAAGAAAATATTCCAAATGACAAAATGATCTTAGTCTTTTACAAATACTGAAATTTCTGAAATCTTTCAAATAAAAGCATACTGTTTGGGTTCTTAATGATAATTCATTCATCAGATATTTGAGTCTGACTGCAAGGATCTGAGGGTAGGATTCAAAGGTCTAGGTTCTCTCTCCATGGACTTCGTATGACCTGTGACCATTGCTTGATTTGGTTTTAACTAGGTGGCTGATTTTTTTAGTTGGGGAAAACAAAAGGTTTGTCTGATATATTTGGCTAGTCTTTTTTTGTAATGTCAGAGCTATTTGCCTGTATCTTACCTCTTCCATGTCCATTTTGCTGCTCAAGCACCTCAGTTGAGGGGTGATAATGTAGAGGATAAAATGGTACTGATTTCTTAGCTTCCTTAGGAATTCATTGCATGGACTTCTAAGCTAGTGACGGAAATGAAATGAAAGCTGGGAGTCATTACGCTCTTTTACTTGTCCATGCCATATTCATCTTAACTTAGATCAGAATATTTAGTCCTGGATATTATTCTTCAGTGTGGTGATGTTTTCTGAAGTACTGGTTAATCTACAAATCCATGAATGTAAAAACAGCTGGTTTACATCAAACATTTTAAAATGTGTTTTTCAATTACAGCCTTGGGACAATAATACAGTATGTGCAAATCCCTGCTCCTTGATCCCCACACCTGACAAAGAGGAGGATGAGCTGGTATACACAAATTCTACATTTGGGCCTCAGAGATCTACACCGTCCAGAGCCTCACCACTTCCTTTACTGAAGTAAGTGCTGACTTTGCTACATGACTTCCAACCTCTACTCCACTTATTAGTCCTCCTTAGTATGGATGCATACTGACACTTGTGTGGGGTTTTGTTTTGTTTTGTTTTGTTTCTGTAGCTGGGCAAATAGAGAGGAGGTTTGGAAAATCATGCTAAACAAGGAAAAGATGTACTTAAGGGATGAGCACTTTTTGCAGCGACACCCTCTTCTGCAGCCTAAAATGCGAGCAATTCTTCTGGATTGGTTAATGGAGGTGAGCTCAGGTCTTCCCATTCACTGAACTCATTGGCCATTTCTAGATCCTTCTTTGCTATTAAGCTATCTGTGTGTGCTTGATTCCATTGATATATTCGATATCTCAGAAGCTTTCCTGGTATATTTAGTATAGCAGTCTAAACTTTTTACTTGCTTTTTTTTTTTTTTTTTTTTTTTGGTATGGGGGGAGGGGATTGATCCCTACAGCGCTTAACCATTGAGCCACATCCCCAGTCCTTTTTTATATATTATTAGAGACAGGGTCTTGCCGAGTTGCTTAAGGCCTCACTAAGTTGCTGAGGCTAGCTTGGAACTTGAGATCCTCCTGCTTCAGTCTCTTGAGTCTCTGGGATTATAGGCATGAGCCACTGCACCTGGCTTTATTCGCATTCTTATAAGAATTTCTAAGATCTCTTTATCCTGCAGGTATTTTAAAGTTGGCATCAAATTTTATCCATCAAAGTTAAATAGTTGCAAAGACTTTATTTTCCAATAAATTGTAAATATTGATATTTGAGCTCTGTTCATTAAATTGCTTTTAAATGTATCTACTGGAATGCAGGTATCAGCTATTTGATAGCCATTATCATAACTTGTAAAAATATATGAACAAGCTTATCTTTAATAGTCAAATTTCACATTGTTCCCTTTTAAATTCCAGAAGTCCATTTTTCTTTCCTCACAGAACAATTTCCTAACAGACCATACTGTTCTAATTGATCACACTGTCATACTTCTGCAACAACTGGTCAAAACAACAAGTATTACAAATCAACAAGATAATCGTTTAATATAGAAAGTGAAATTTTATTGGCAGTGCATCTCTTACTGGGATGCACTGCAAATAACTTCCTTGCTTAAGGGAGGCTTGATGGCTACTCAAATACTTAGGTAGATGAGAAGTGTTTTTCTTCTGAGAAATGGGAGGACCCTCTCAGGCACATCTACTTTATGAAAGAGAACATGTAGAAGTTGAGTGTCTGACTATTCCCTATAAATGTGTTAACACTGTCATACTGTATATCCTGTAGAAGGTCAGCATTCTCCAGGGTATGCAAACCACAGTTGTGTTAGTCCTAGAATGAAATTCCCTGCTGCCACTTACCATCTAGGTGCTTAAGTCCAGCAAGTCACCCGAGTCTCAGTTTTCTCATCTGTAATATTTTCTAGCAATATTTTCTTGCAGAGTTTGTGCAGATTAGAAATGATATACATAAAGGGTTTTTTTAATCATTCTTAATTTGTATTCTTCATTGGCCCCTAAGAATGTCAACATTTTTTTTTTTTTTTTGTAGTAGATTCTTTAGAAGGCCTACTTTTTTAAAGTACAGATCTTGCAGCTGCCCACTATGGACTTACCATGTCACAATGACCTTCTGTGCCCTTTATAACATTTTATAATTTCTGGAAGTGTTGAATATAATAAGTGTGAATCTTTTAGGCTGTAATTTATTATAAAAGTGTTGAAATTGAGGACTGGGGAAGTAGCTCAGTGGTGGAGTTCTTGCCTGGCATGTGTGAAGCCCTGGATTCGGTCCCCATCACCATGACAAAAAATTTGACTGAGAGGTTCTCTTTTAAAATGTAATTAATGCCATTATGTTTTGAAGGACAGATTTTATAAATAGCTATATATGGCTTAATCTGAACTTTAGAAATCATCTATGGTGATTGATAGAATTTTCTAGCAGAATTTTGTGTGTTTTTCTCTGGTACCTTTCTACATGTTAACCCCAACAGTTGCAGTTACAGGAGATAGCCTGTTGGTGAGTGGCAGTGGTGGTGTTGGAGTTACACGTGCATAATCATACTTTTGGTGTTGGTACTGAGTTGAAGACTAATATTTTCTTGGTTCCTTTTTAATTCCATCTTGTATACTGTTTTACCAGATACTCAATTCTGAGAGGTAGGCAGAACAGGTATTGTCCTAATTTTATAGTGAAATAAATGTGTTTGTTTAAGGTAGAGCCTAAATTATAACCTAGGTCTCTGAATCTTTTTAATGCTTTTAACAAAGTTTTTGCCTCTTATGATTTATAGTGTTTGGGGCATGTTGTAGTCTTTAAATAAATTTGAGTTCCAACTTTTAAACTTTTTTATTGGTATCATTTAGTTATAAAGAACTATTGCAGTTCTTTCCTTAAATTGACTTATCATGAAACTTATAAAGGGGGACAACATTTTTGAGAAAATTCATAAATTTGATTTTTTTATCTTATTTCATGAGAATTCTGCTTTCAGCCAGGTGTAGTCGTACACACCTGTAATCCCAGTGACTCAGGAGGCTTTGAGACAGGAGGATTGCAAGCTCAAGGCCAACTGGCCAACTAAGTGAGACCCTCTCTTTAAAAAGGGCTGGGGATGTGGCTCAGTGGTAGGACACCCTTGGGTTCAATCCCTAGTACTACAAAAAGAAAAAAGAAGAAATGCCTGCCCTCACCAGGCTTTAAACCTGTCTTCCTTCTCTGGCCTCCAAACACTTGCTTTTACTACTACATAGATCACAGAAACTTAATCCTTATATCTGCGCCCAAGTTTGTCTTTGTACTTGTGCTTAGGCACAAACAAGGTAACAGTCCTCTCAGAAAAGCAAAGTTATTCTTATCGCTCTTGGTCTGATTATGTTGTCTTTTACCAAAACTCAGGGCAAGATTTTTTTTTCCCTTGAGTAACTGTTATAAAATTTACTAAATATTTTTTCAGGTGTGTGAAGTCTATAAACTTCACAGGGAGACGTTTTACTTGGCACAAGATTTCTTTGATCGGTATATGGCAACGCAAGAAAATATTGTAAAAACACTTTTACAGCTTATTGGGATTTCAGCTTTATTTATTGCTGCCAAACTTGAGGTAAATAATTTCAAATATTTTATATAATATTTCATTTCTTGAGTTCCTCCTAAGATTAGGAGAAGAGGTCAGTTATTTGTCTGTAATGTATAGCCTAAGTTTTTCTAATTTGAAGTCTTCTAAAGTTAAGACAAAAAGATATACAGAAAGACTGAGGACTAATGAAGAGAGGAGAGGAATTAATGTATAAAATGTTTGGTTAATTTAGTTACTTTAAGCAAAAAAATTGAACCTTGAACTAAGAAGATAAAAATTTTGGTGTGACAATAGAAGAATGTTTGAGCCCAACTTCCAGACATGTTAAAGATATTGAGAAGGTGAAAATTTTAAAAATACATTGAGTAAAGTTCTATTAATCACCATATGTATTCATTCATTTATTTAGTGGAGGTTGGAGTTTCATTTTTTTTACAATTAACACATACTGAACTGTTAAAGTAGCTCCTTTAGTAATCACATCAGCGTATCATTTTTCCATGCCAGGGTACTAAAAAATAATTTCAGATGCACATTATAAGGTGAAATTATTATGATACCGGATGTTTGCTAATGATATCTTTTATTTGCTTTTAGGAAATCTATCCTCCAAAGTTGCACCAATTTGCTTATGTTACAGATGGTGCTTGTTCAGGAGATGAAATTCTTACTATGGAATTAGTGATAATGAAGGTAGGTTACAAGTTATTTCCAGTCATTTTTAAAACACATAAGTATTTCTCACATGAAGTTTGAGCACATCTGGTAGGTCTTTAGATGGGCACATTGTGGTGTGGAAAATGGCTACATCTTGAACTTCTTTTTACAACCATCGGTCTCTTTCCTGTTTTCCTTAGGCCCTTAAGTGGCGTTTAAGTCCCTTGACCATTGTGTCCTGGCTGAATGTATACATGCAGGTTGCATATCTAAATGACGTATATGAAGTGCTACTGCCGCAATATCCCCAGCAAATCTTTATACAGATTGCAGAGGTAAGTAGCTCCATTGCCTCTAGGGGCTCCTAACCCCACAGCTAGAGTGAAGAACTCTAGAAGTGATGTGTGTGCCCCTCTGTTTCAGCGTTCTTTTCTTCTCATAGCTTTTAGATCTCTGTGTCCTTGATGTTGGCTGCTTAGAATTTCCCTACGGTGTACTTGCTGCTTCTGCCTTGTATCATTTCTCTTCATCTGAATTGATGCAAAAGGTTTCAGGTACGTTAGTTTTCTGGTGAATTACAAAACAAAGTGTATTAAACTTAGACACCAATTGTCAACATCTGGTTGAGCCTATGGTTTCTTTTCATCACAGGGTACCAGTGGTGTGATATAGAGAAGTGTGTCAAGTGGATGGTTCCATTTGCCATGATTATAAGAGAGACAGGAAGTTCCAAACTAAAGCACTTCAGGGGGGTTCCTGCTGAAGATGCTCATAACATACAGACCCACGTCAACAGCTTGGATTTGCTGGTTAGTAATGTTTTTGCTCCAATCCTTCTTGACCAGAGAGAACCTTAAAGCTGCCTGGATAACCTATTCACTTCACTTTATGCAGCCTTCAGACATCCTAGAAAAATTCCCAATTCTCTTATTTCCTTGAAGAAAGTTTCTGGTTTATAGAGACTGTATGTCAGTTATCATGTAGACCATAGACTTTTAGGTGTTTTTTTGCTGTTTTTCCCTTTCACTCACCACCTTACCAATAACGTATAGTAAGTGAAACAAAGGATATGTTCTTCCACCTTAACAGTTTTCCCTTTTCTTCTTATCAATAGGACAAAGCCCAAGCAAAGAAAGCCATATTGTCTGAACAAAACAGGATTTCTCCTCCCCCCTCAGGGGTCCTCACCCCACCACAGAGCAGTAAGAAGCAGAGCAGTGAGCAGGAAACAGTGTGACCACCCCAGCATTCTCCACCAAAGACAGTTGTGCGGAAGTGCCTGCTCATAGTTCTCTCCTGTCTACTGCAGTGGAGGCGTATACTAGCTTTTACAGATATTTAAGTGAAGAGTATCTCTCTTCTGCAACAGAAGTATTTCTGTGATTGGCATTGGACAGGGAGAAGTGTTTTTTATTGAATACTTAGATTTTTTTAAATAAGTGGGTCAAGTACACCAGCCACCTCCAGAACACCAATGAGTGCTCCAGATGCTGCTAAGGAGGGTGATACTTGACTTGATTGACTGTTCACACAAATAACAAAGGCTTGAAGTTGAGGAGTGCCGCTGTTGCTGTTGGTCTCCCCTCGGGTGTTCTGGGTTGCCTCGTGTTCGGTGGAACAGGTGGTTGTGAGCAAGCATTGTGATGCACAGCCTCAACCAGCAGGGCCTGCCCTTTACACATCAGTTGACAGTGTACCATGCCTCTTATGAACTTTTGTTTTGTAAGTGCTGCTATGTCTATCCGTTTTTAATAAAGATAATACTGTCTTTGAGACAGCTGGTTTTATGAGCAGTGTCTGGTAATTAGAAGTTAGAAGTCAACTCAGTGTGGCTATGTCAAGTTCTCTTTTTACTTAATGCTTCTTGAAGCTTGAATCTTTCTAGAGAAAACATTTAAAATAGGGAGTAAGCTTCAAACACAGCCTTGTCTACCTCTTGAGGCCCTTGGAGCTGGGAGTGAGACTTTTGATTTGGCACTTCTGCAGTTTCCTGCACAGGTGGCCACTCACATCAGGTTCATTTGCCATCAGTGGCAATGGTGCTAAAGTCATTTCCACATCTAGAAGGATTCATAAGTATAATTTCCTCCCTGGGGCTGTTTGAAGGTTGTAAAGAAATCTGTAATTAATACTATACCCTTACCCAGATCTTAACCGAAAGAATAAATGAATTTTATTTGGAGAACTTAACATAGTAGCCTGAAACTGTACTTCTAAGAAGAAAATGCAAAGTATAATATATGGCTGAAGGTCAGGATATAAAATTGCTCCTTGACTGAGGAACTGACCAAGTGCTTTGCTGATGGTCACGGTCCACCTGAAGGCCTGATGTGTGCTGCCCACATCACTTGTTGATATTCTCAGTCTTGTTTCACTTTCTAACTATGCTTCGATGTGTTGGGGGAAGGGGCATGCACTCAAGGAAAGGTGAATGAGCAAATAAATACTACTTATTTTCAGCCGGTTTTATCTTATTTTGCAAAAATTTAATGTAGAAAGAAAACCAGCCATTTTAAATCTTCAATTTATTCCAAGTTGGAAGGAGACCTTACTTTTTTACATTGATGTGGTTCTGGCAAATTTTAATACAGTTTTCCTAATAAGCACATTAGAAATCCATATATAATGGTATCTAGTCAAACGATGACCATCTACCCCTTGCTAGTTATTTCTTCATCTCAGGTGCTTTTGTCTTAAAAGAAGTGAGCTTTGAACGGTGACCATTTGTGACTAGTTGGCAAAATCCTAAAAGTGGTTACTTAGTTTGGCATTTATCTGTAAAATTGGCACTGAAATACATTTCTATTTGCAAAGTTTTATTATAAAATTGAGAGCTTGACAAGTGTGAGGTAACATGGATTTGAAAGCATATCTGAGGTAAATTTTAATTCATAGCTCATAAAGCAAGCCCTTAAATTACAAAGGATATTATTGAAAACACTGAAATGAGAATGCCTTATATATAAATGGTGCTCTTCTGGAAATCGGGATTTTTTTCAAATTGCAACATTGCCACAGGGAGCTCTTAATCATCTGTGCTAACAAAGGGTAAATAAAATCCACAGTGATCAATTTCTGTGGCTGTGTCAGAAACCCTAAGAGCCACCAGTAAGTAAAAATCAAGTCTCCCCTCTTGAGAGGAGCTTCCATTTGCTGGTAATCAGTTGGTGGCTACTTTGAGCTTTCTCTGATTGGCTCTATATACTTATTTGCCAGATCATTTCTGCTATTCAACTAAAACCAACTGAGGTGAGGGAATGCCAACTACACATCAGAGGTGAAATGGTAGGCCAACCCAAGGAAGCAGATGCTATGAGGCCAAGATGTGGCTGGCACAGGAAGGACCAAAGAGATGATGTAGGGCCCTTGGTCTGACTTTACAGTTTGGGGCTTACCTGTCCCTCAGAAGCTCATGGGTCAAAGGCTTGGTCCCCAGTGTGACAGTGTTCAGAGATGGAGCCTTGGGGAAGTGATGGGTCACAAGAACTGACAGCATGAATGGATTCATCCTTTTATGGATTCATGCTTTAAAGGGTTTTGAGGGAGAGGCTCTGTTATAAAAGTGAGTTCTCTCTGCCTCACCACAGGACCACAGCAATGGAGCCAAGCAACTGTGTATTGGAACCTCTGAAAAACAGCCAAAATAAATCTTTCCTCCTTATAAATTAATTATCTCAGGTATTTTGTCACAGTGACAGAAAGCTAGCTCTGTGTTGGAGAAACCAACCTATTGACCAACCTTGAAGACTGGATTGTGGCACAAAATACCACACTCTCATATTTTTCCCCTGCTCACTTGCTATATCTCAGAGTTGCTATCATTTCTCTGCCCACTGTGCCTGAGGAAAAAGACAACAGGTTCCTGTATGGGGGGTTTTGAAGGTTTTCCAGTGTCATCTTCCCCGCATGAAACTTGGACAGCTTATTGTTTCATGGAGGTAAATCAATGGTGCTAATATTCACATGGACGGCAAGTACCTGCAGCAGACAGGGAAAGCTGGGAGCTGTCGAAGATTTGCAGATAGCGCCTGATACACCTCTATCCTCTAACTCCAACACAAACAAGATTGGAGTTTATTCCGGCAAAATTAGGCTCTAGCTCAGAGCAGGGACGGAAAGAGAAATCAAATCTGATAATGTCTAGTCATATTTACCCAACCGTGCATTTTCCTACCACATGTTCAGCATTTTGAAATTCAAATCACATTTATACCTTGGACATTGTTAGAAGACTATTTTTATCCCTGCTGTAATCATCTAATTTGCTGATTACAGGTCTCAAATTGCCACAGAGAACTCAATTTTTGAAAGAATTGTCCTATTTGATCAAATATGTTATTCAAGCAATGCAGTCATTTGTTCCACAAGGTTACCTGCCAGGCAGAGTTAACCAGGAGTAATAGCATTAGAAGCCTATACTTAAAATCAAGCATTAGCTAATCTGCCTGTGACAATAGAGTCTTAAATATAATTTGCTGCAGATACTTCAGTTCCTGCACTGACAGACAATTGCATTTTGTATTCAATGAGCATAGATTTTCCCTACCTCGTCCTAATTCCAAATTTAACTCCAGAAGACTCTAATGTGCTCAGTTTCACTGGCTTACCAGGTACTATTTCCCAAGAGCCTCAGATGGAAGTGCAATGTTATTCTTTATTAAATAAACCTTCCCCACCCGTTCTCCCCCTCTTTAAATCACTGTCCTGATCAAAGCCAATTCCAAAAGCTGTAGCATCTTTATCCAAAAAGTTAAGTCTAATGCTTTTTCCAGCGTGATGTGTGAGATGTCCTCCTATTGATCCCCTATTGTGTGCTAAGCACTATCAATATGGGAGACAAAGATACAGACAGTGTGGCCAAGGGACTCAGGTGGGCCTGCAGGTGAGACATATAAACAACTGTTATCTCATGAGGGTCCTAGTTTGAGCAGGTAGCCTCTGGGAGCAGAGGGCAGGAATAGCATTTCCGCTCTGCTTTAGAAGTGCAGCTGTTGAACACTCCTCAGCAGTTTGCAAAAAAGTGCTCACAATTGGGCACAAGTAGGAGTCAGAGGATAGAGGTGTATCAGGAGGAAGGAGAAGATGAGGCAGAAGAGATGACAGAGAACATGTCACGAGGAGCTTTTGTACATCAAATAGAAGATGGGTGTAGTCTCCCCAGCACAGGAAGTTGGGTTTGATAAAGAGGAAAATGGTGACAGTGACCTGTTCAGAGCCAGTCTGGAGGCAGAGGATGAGGAAACAACCCAGAGTTAGGCCTCTCTGCACCATAAGAAAGAGACTGTGCTGCATACGGGGGACAAGCAGGAAGGCAATGGAATGTCTGTAAAAATCAGCTACACCAACACTAATTTCTAAACGGCCTTGCCTGGATGACTGCCTCCATCTCCCTCAAGTTTCTGGCCCTGTACCTTTGTGCAGGCATTTGCCTGCCAACCTGCCCAATGCCAGCTTGAATCTCACTTCCTGAATGAGTCTGTCCCTGTCTTCGGCCCACACTGGTGTCATTTCTTCATTGGACTCTGCAGGCATTCACCTTGAAATGGGACTCAGCTTTGCCACTTCCTAGTGTGATCTGGGCTTAACTTCTCCAAGCTCAGTGTCCCTCAGTTATGAAATAAGGATTAAGGATGACAACAATGTTTTTTTATCCCATAGAACTGAGGGGAAATGAAATGAGAAAAAATGCACAGGAAATGTTTATCCCAGTGCTTCTCACATTAAAAAAATAATAAAAAATGGTGGTCACCATCCCTGAATCTACCACTGCTGGATATGGTGATGTGATAGGATCTCTGATTCATAAACAACTCCTGTGAGTGGTTTAGAGCTGAGGACATGTCTTCACCCTGCATCTCTGGGGGACAGTGCTGAGGGTGAGACTGGCTGGATTCCCTGTGTGCCCCACACAGCTCACCTGAGAGCAGGGGGGACCCCAGGAGCACTTAGCAGTTTGCTCTGGTGTGCTCTCCTCCCTCCAGCCTGCTTCCTCTTCCCCAGTCATGAACCCCATCTTCCTCCCTTCCTAAGAAGCCCCTTTGAAAGTGTTATCTATACCACCGTCACTTCTGCAGCACCCTCCAGCTGGGCATATATGCAGGCCATCTAAGACACCTGCTCTACTTTGGATCTGGAAGGTCCCCAAAGGCTCATGTGTTAAAGGTTTGGCCCTCAGTGTGACACTATTGGGAGGATAGAGCCCAGTGTGGGGTTTTGAGTCATGAGGAGCATGCCTGTGAAGAGGACAGTGGGACCCTAGCCCCTTCCTCTGCCTTTCCTTTACTACCTGGCCATGAGGGCAGCAGTTGTGCTCCACAAATTGCTGCCACAGTGTGCTACCCCTCCTACCAGAGGCCTAAAAGCAATGTGCCCATCCAAGCATGGGCCAGAAACTCCAAAACTGTGAATCAAACCAAACCTTTCCTCTGCATATATTGATTATTTCAGGGATTTGTTATAGTAATGGAAAGCTGACTAACACAATCTCCAGGTGACAAATCTCACAGTGCTCTCCAGCCTCATCCCTGCCACATTTAGCTTTGCTAGCTCCACCTGCCCTCTAGACACGTTCCATCGTCCCTCAGCTTCTGTGGCTGCACACCTCCCAATTACATGCCTGATATCATTCCTCCCAAGTCCCTCCTCCTCTCTGTTCCAACAAAAGTTGAAGGAGTCATAGGGCCCTTCAGGGCCACCCACCACTGCCCCTTGACATTCTGTCCCTGGGCAAGTTCATTACTCCAAAACTTATGACACCTCCTGGTTGCATCTCTACCCCAGTCAGCCTCCACCCGACTTAAACCTGAATGGTCACCTGCCCAAAGGGTACTTCCACCTTCCCTCTCACCACTGCAAAACTCACTTCACCGTTCACCATTAATACAGGTGTCAAAAATGGGAACTGGCAATACACAATAAGCCCAAGAAAACTATTCAAAGCACAAATCATCAGAGAAATGCAAAATAAAACAACAAGATCAGTTTACACCACAGGTTGACAAAGATTTTAAAGTGCAGAGAATAACACAAATGACATCTGTGGACCCATCACCCAGGTTTGCCATATTAGCTGCTCCTTCTCCTTCTCCTTTTTTTTTTTTTAAGGTAGTGGTATGTTTAATATAGGGGTACTTTACCACTGAACTATATCCTCAGCCCTTTTTATTCTTTATTTTGAGACAAGGTCTCACGAAGTTGCCCAGAATGGCCGCAAAATTATGATTCTTTTATCTTAACATCCTAAGCAGCTGTGACTGCAGGCATGTGCCACTATGTGGGCCACATACTTTTTAAAATAAAGAAATACAATATGACAGGCACAAGTGAAGTTCCCTAGAGTCCCTTCCCAATCTCATGGTTCTTTTCTCCTCAGAGGAAACAACTACCAGGGGTAGAGTGTATGATTACTCCATTTATGTTTAGACTTTTATCATTTACATGTGGCTCCATTAGCAATAAATATAGCAAACATCACTCTGGGTTTTTTTTAAATTACATCAACGTCACCAAACCTTTTATATCATGTCACTTGCTATTTTCTTTCCACGTTACTTTTAAGTTTGTCCATGTTGATGCCAGTAGTCACATTCATTCATTTTTAATTGTGGTATATATTTATATTCCCTCCCACCCTGGTGCACAAATAGATTTCCAATTTCTTTTTTCACCATCACAAATGGTGCTGTAATTGACATCTTGCACACATGTGTATCACCCATGCGAACTCCTGCAGGGCACATTGCTAGACGTGGAAATGCCATGTCAAAGGGCATGCGCCTTTGCATCTTTCTAAGGGTAATCATCTCCTCTCCCAAATTGTACCAATTTACACTCCCAGCCAGGGAGGATGAAGAGTTCCCACCTCCTCACATCTGTTCCAGTACTCAGTATTGCTGAATTTTCTTTCTATTAAAATTGCTATTATTTAACTTTACTAGTTTTACTCTAGTTATGAAAGTAGAGCTTTTTGGGTATAATAAGTTAGAATACTTCAAAATCACACAACATAGTAAGCAAAAATCCCTCAGAGATCTATTCTTAACAATATTGGTATTAATAACGTGTACCTTGCTCCAGAATTTTTATTACACTTTCATATAAATAAATGAAAATATTTGCTTTTTTCCCCCCTATAGGTCTATTTCTTTTCATTGTATTATCTCTAAGTAGTTTAGGGTTAGGGTTAGGGTATGGAACAGAGCATCTGTAGTCCCAGCTACTTGGAAGAAGCTGAGGGAGGAGGATCACCTGAGCCCAGACAATCAAGGCTATCCTGGACAATAGAGATCCCATCTGGGAAAAAAAAAATCAAGTAAAATAAAATATGCACACAAAGTCTTTTTGTTTTTTTTTTTATTTTCAAGTGATTACCTACCAAATGATTTCATTGACTTGCATGGGGCCTGGCACAAAACAGGTGTTCATTAAATACTTGCTCCAAGAATGAATGAATGGATTCTTACATAGTCACTATCCTCTACTTCCAAAGTTTCCTCTGGAAGAAAATAAGATTGAAAAGCAAGACATTAACAGGAATGAATCAAGTCCCTGCCCCAGTCCTATTCTGAGCAAAGGAGCCACATACCAGTGCCTTCCAGTTCCTGGGCGAGCTGCAAGGATGAGGTGACATACGGGAACCCAGCTTCATTTGTGGAAAGAATGGTGATGAACCCTCCCAGTGATACCATCCTTTTAAAAGAAACAAAGTCCAAAGTTAAATCTATTCCAGCAGGCACAACTTGAGCCTTCAAGAACCTTCTCTGCATCCCTCTTGCTAAGCACCTAACCAATGGTTCTCTTGTTATAGACAAGAGACGAGTACTCAATCTCTGCAAAGATGGTGACTTGATCTGAAGCACTCCTCTGACATTCTTGATCCTCTATTCCTCCTCCAGACTGGGAGGCCAAAGCAGAGGCTAATGCAGAGGCTGCGCATGAGGACCTGTAGTCAGGTGCAGCCATGAGTTCTTTTTGTGTTTAGGCTGCTAAGAGGTTTTAAATCACCTTTCAACCAACATTTAAAACTCAGGAGCATTCCCATTCAGATAGGGCTCCCCAGCTCTCGGCTGTCCTACAGGCAGAGTAAAGTCTATCTGCAATGTGCCCAAATCCTTACCAATCCTTATAGTACCTCATGCTGATGTCTCTGACTCCATAGCTGTTTATCTTTACATACACACTGCACATCTTCTTGGAACAGACAAATATCTCTTGTATCTGTAGCCATCGAATGGGAGAAAACAGTATAGATCAAGAAGGTAGAGTACTTCAAGAAAAAAATGGCAAAGAAAGCATATTTCTCCTTGGAAGACCAGACTATTTGGCCATGGTTAACTTTCAGTACAAAATGTCTCAGTGTGCAGAAACATATTCTTTCACCTGCCTGGTTTCCAAAGACATCTGAGTTCATGATTCCCATAGTTACTGGAGTGTCTTGGCTCTAACAACATTAGCTCGTTACTTACCTACTCTGGGCCTCTGTTTCCTCCTGGGCCCAAGGGACAGTGCAAGCCCTCCAGCCAGCAGGCCTGTTCAGAAGCAAGGAGGCAACAGGATGTTCTCTCAGTGACTAAGTAAGTGCAGCCTCTCAGGGGTTAAAAGTTGCTTTCTGTTTCTCCTCAAACTCTTGTCTTCCAGATGGTGATGCAAGACTAGTTTTGTGTTTTCAGGTTTGCAGTCACACTTCAGAGACCTCCCCTGCTTCCTTTCATGCAAAGGTTTCAGTTTTTTTTTTTTCTAGATATTACAGTGGGGTGGAGGTGAGGGTGACTGGTACACAGGGCAGAAGTCAAACTGGTAAGAAAGTGGGCCCCCAAATCCCCTGGCCTCTCAGAGATATCCAGGGTGACCTTTAGCCCTCATTCCATCTAAGGCCTGTCAAGGCCAGAGGTGAGGCAGGTGAGATTCCAAGGCTGTGGTATGGGAATCTCCATACCTATCAAGGACTGATGCCCAAAAGGTCACTGGCTGCCCTGCGGGGTGGCCCTGAAGAAAAAATCCTAGGTGGGAGGAAACTTGGGGCTCCTCTGCCACGGCCGCAGGCTTTGTTCCTCCTAGAATGGAACCTGAACTGGGCTGCTGGGAAACCCTCTCTTGCTTCAGCCTCTTTGATGGAGAAAACTGTTCGAGAAGACAAACTGCCTCTGAGAAAGATGGGCTGACGGATCCCAGGAGTGATTTTCGGCACTGTTCATTTTAGCGATGTCCAGGCCAGCTGAAAGGGATGGCTCATCTGTGGGATGAGATAGATGCAGATGTCAATACTGAATTCGTGGAAGCATAAAAGACGGGCAGGGTGGGGTTTATTAATTATATTCTTTTATCCTCATAACAATGGCATGTCAGTAATCTACACTGAATGTGCCCAATTGATGCTAATGATTTCATCCTTTTGTTTCTGTGGGGAAAAAACAAAACAAAACAAAACAAAAAAACCCCAAAAAACATAGCAGTCTGCCCGCCCAAGCTAGTCAGCCTCAGCACAGCCTGGAGTCCAGCAAGGCCTTGGAAGCCCTTATCTGAGCTCCTTGTCAGTTTTGAACCTTACTCTCCCTGGTAAAGTGGTCCTGCCTGACAGTGTCTGTCATTATGTTCCTAGTCCCTGTCTCATCTTCCTCTACTCTGCTTTGCTATGATCCCACACATGGGGATGGGGTTCTCTCTGGGTGCAATGACAGTGTTTTGGGGGCAGTATTTTTGAGCTGAAGACTCCTCTTGGTGTACTTTAAATCCCATTCTTCATTGAAGGATTCTTCTGGAAGAAAAAAAAAAGTGAATAGTTAATGGATTACTTTTGGCTACAGCCCCTGCCTATTATTAGATTGAATTATTTGGGATAAAATAGAAAAAGGCAGGACTGTTAAGGGGCACAGCAATGACTGGATGAGTCACAAGTCATTTGCCCTCTTCTCTCACCACCCTACCACCCCCAGGACCTGGAACAAGTTATCAGGAACAGCATCGAAGAGTTTCTAAATTTATATGTGCTAAATCTCATGTCCTCTCCCCTTCGTCCTGGTAGATACCTTAAGAAGGACATGTGACACACCTGGCCCAGGAGAGAAGTGCCAAGGAAAGCATCCAGCCTACATCCAATGTTTTGTGCTACAAATTAGAGACAAGTTTTCACAGATAACACCTATGTTATTATTTGAATGCAAACTTCATCAGCATGTGATGTGTGGGTTGGTACCCAGACAGTAGCAGCAGCTGTTACAAGGAGGGCCCTATATAGGACTCTCACTGATGATGTCATAAGGAGATTGGATGGCCTTTCCCGACCCCACATTACAGCGTCCTCCCTTCCCCCAGGAAGCCTGGTTTGTGAGAAGATGCTAGAGGGGTCTCCAACTTGGACATCTCCACCTTCAGCTCAAACAGGGCAGTAACTGAATTTCCATGCAGGGAGCAAGAGGGTGACCTATAATTGAAAACGGGGGCAATGGCCATATCCTAGGCATGGGTCTACAATTGCATGCTTATTGAGGTAGTTTTGGAGGGACCCACAGCAATAATGGAGGGTGTCAGAGCCTCCCTAACCCTTATCTCTAGAAACTGCCAACCTCCTCTCCCCACTGGATTTTCTGTTCTCCAGACCTCCTCCTTCCAGGCAGTTGGGGTCAGTTTACACAGCTGGTGGTTCAGTTCCATCCTGGCATCCTTGGTGGAGCCAACACTGAGAAGACCATTACTGAGGCATTGACAGCACTCTGGTAGAAGGCCCTGTGTGCACACTTACCCTGAACAGCTGCTGGACTCTGGCATGCTCTGCTGCTATAAAAATATCAGCACTGCCACCCCAGCTCCTGGAGAAAGTCTCAGCATGACAGCCTGCAAAGAAATCCTGCATTTGAATTTCATCTACAAATCCTGGTTTCCTCCAGACAAGCTCAAACCTGCACAGATGGCCCCTCGCACCAAAAAGTAAAAATAACAAAGCTTGTGATTCTGGGCCTCCCTTTTTCTCTAGGCAGATGTGCCGACTGCACATTTTGGGAGGCGCACAGTCTGGGTCCCAGCAGCAACCTCTCTCCTCCTGTGCGGTTTTCATGCCCCCCTTCTGGCTTCCTGGTGGGTAGCAGCTGTGGTCTTTTGGAGTGTGTTCTTGGAAGTGTCCAGAGTACCCAAGCCTTTAGAGTGTGGTAGGGCAATCCAGAGGGGTATGTTAATGTTGAAAACTCATTCCTCACTCTACTGGCCATACCGTCATCCGTGAGATGGCTCAAGGTAAGAGTTGAATACTTGTGAGTGAGTAAAGTGATCAGCAGAAGTGGGAGGCAAGGGGATGGGATACTAGGGCCAGCACGTACCAAGGGCAGGTGGCGGGGTGGGGGAGGGAAGCAGCACTAGGGGATCCTGATTTTTTTGAACCCCTCACAAATCCCAACCAGCCACAGAAGCCTCAATGTCTCATGAACTCTTTCCACTAATGTTTGCTGAGAACCTCTATTTCAGGTCCTAAGGATATAGTTATGGACAAGTCTGACCCAGAAAGCAGATGCCCAAAGAACACACAATCAAGGCTAATAGTTTGGATGGCCACCAACTCAATGGTCAGGAGGCAAGAGCAGTTCCAGGGGATAAGCCAGAGCAGGCCAAAGCCCCTGACAGGGGCACTTACAGGTAAGTTCCACTTCTGATGTGACATGAAGCCCCAACTCTCAATCAAATATTGTGATTTATGGTCTTTGGTACAACAGAGGGTCAGATACGAAAAAGTTCAGTTGAAAGAGAAATATGATTCAAATTGCCAAGAGAAAAAAAAAAGAATTTATGGATTCATATGAGCTTATGGATTCAGACAAATAATCAAGGTGTAGATCTAGCTAGATTTCAGGCATGGCTGGATCTAGCTGTTTACATGCTACCCTCAGGAATCTGGCTCTTGACTTTGCTCAACTCTGCTTTGTCTGTCATGTGCTGACGTCATGTAGTATACTTGCTAGTATCTCCAGGCTGACATTTCTGCCAGCAAATACCTCTTTCTCAGGACCTCTAGCAAAAGTTCTGGGGATGATTCTCATTGGTCCAGTCTGGATCACTAATTGCTGTGGCCAGAGGAATGTAGAACTCTGACTGGTTAGGCACGTGGCATGTGTCAGTCTCTAGGCAGGACTGCAGTCAGACCATGTGAACTACCTGGCTCCACCACAAAAAGAAAGGGATACTGGTTTGTCAAAAGCAGTAAATACAGAAACAACAACAAAGACCCTCCTAAATAATGAGTGACAGCAGAGATGTGAGCATGCTCTGAAACAGCTGCAAACACTCTGCTTCCAACAGCAGGATTCCTCTTGCTGCAGTTGTGTGACGATTGTCATTTAACCTCTTGAATTTCCTAATTCCACAGTAAGGTCTCTATGCCAGGCATGGGATATAAGGAAGATTCTGGACATCCCTGTGGAGAAGCCTGACCACCATCTGACTTCAGGAGAGAGCTCATCCTAACAGGGAATGACCACAACTGAGGTCTCCCTGATCCCTAAGTTCCTCAATTTTCCTTTCTGGCATACCCTAGGTCTCTGTGCTTCCACCTTCCTTTTCCTTGGGACAATACCCAAAAGAACCCCCAACCTGATCTGCAAGAGAGAAACAGCAGGGTCTTCATTAACCAAAGCCTCAGGCAGGGCTTTTCATGCTTCTGTCTGCCACCCAGAAACCCACGCCGGGTAGTCTTGCCCCCTTGAAGCAGAGGGAGTGTGCCTAGCCCAATATTACATTGTAGTTCAGGAAGGTATGGTACAGAATAGTCAGTCAAACAGGTAGCTGATGGTCCTGGGGATGCAAGGGGTGGGGGTGAGCAAAGAAAGGAGCATTATCAGAGAGGGCCATGCTGAGGCTAGCCAGTATTTAAGTGAACTGGCAGGAGGCAAGTGGGGGATTCAGCTTGTGGGTCACTATGCAATCTTATGTCACTGTTCTGATGTGTCACAGTGACTGCATTAGCAAGCTGCTGTGTGAAGAAGTTTGTATGGGAAGTTTCATAAATGAATTAGGACCAGGGGACTTGGATTGAGACAGCAGGAAAGTACACAGTTCCCATCCACACGGGACTCCTCCCTAGTAATGAGTGCTCCTCAAAGGGCAGGGCACTGCTGTGAAGGCTTGACTCCTGTTTACTCGTTTAATTCTCCTGCAATTCTATGGGGTGGGTATAACATTAGCCCTGTTAAAAAAAAAAAAAAAAACGGTGGGGGAGGCTGAGACACGAAGAGATTTTCAGGGTCCCCGGCCAACTGCACTCTTGGGAAGCTTGGGCTGGTTTAAGGAGACATCCAATTAACCAGCTCATAGGTATCACCTTTGGGTAGGGGATCCCTATGGTGGCTCTGGCTGCTGGGCCTGGAAAGGTGTTCTGAACTCCCCTGGAGGCTGCAGCTCAGCTCTTCTGCCTGGAACATTTTCTTCTTTCCAATCCTGAGCACTCCTGTCCCCCTCCGAGGCCTCCAGCAACCCCCGCCAATCTGGGCTGACAGCTTGGCTGGGCCCCAGGCCGGGCCGACTCCGTGTGCTGCGCCTTCCCCTGGTCACGCGGAGAGGACGGTGGAGGAGGAGGAGGGGAGAGAAAGGAGGCCGGCTTGGGTAGAAGTCAGCTTTCAGGGAAGGAGCCTCTGTGCCATGGGTGCTGCCCCTGCAGAGGGCGCTGCCTCTGCTCGGATTCAGAAGAAGACAGCGTGGAGGGAATGCGCTGGAGGAGGGGCTGTCCAGCGAGAGGCAATGTGGGGCCAGAGGTCCCGGCCGACTCTGTCCCCGCCACACCCGAAAGGAAACTATCGCGACGGTTTGGAGAGAGCCTCCTCTAAGTCTCTTCTGGAACGGGTATCTTTGTTACCTCATTGCACAAACAGGAAAACAGGCCTCACCAAGGGACCCAGACTACGCTCGGTCCCGAAGGGCCAGCGCAAAATGCTTGAAGTAGGACCCAGAAGTCCTATAATGTAAGGCACAGTCCAAGCTCTAAAGGTGCCGGCTGCCCGAGGTCGGATCTTGGTTGCCCCACTTGCTAGCCACGTGGCTTTGGGCAAGTTTCTTTTCCCCATCTGTGAAATGGGAAAGCGCATACTTTATACGGTTATCCCCAGTTCATTAAGTTCCCTAGGGTAGGACCTGGCCCGACTTAGCCAAAGTCAGTATTTGCCATGTTTTCAGCAAACTTGAGGCTCGGACCAGAGCCTGACCGCCCCCGCTCAGCCGCCTGCCCGGGGCCTCCCAGCGCGGGCGCACTCCGCAGCCGGCCCGCCTCCTCCCCAAAGCCACCAGCCAGCTCCGCCCTCGTCGCTCAGGCTGCCCTCCACGTGCGGTGTGTTTACCCACGTGACACGGACCCGCCCACAATCCCCGCCTCCGTCCCGCCCCACGTCGGCTGCGGCTGCGCAGTTGCGAGCTGGCCGTCCCGGTTGTACAGCGGTGGCGTACGGAGTACGGAATTGTGCCACCCAGACGCCTGCCGGGTACACTGGAGCTGGTCGCTTACTTCCCGGGCAAGTTGGTCGGGGGCACTCCGTAGTGCTGGGATAGGACCAGCTGGTCAGTGTGCAAAGAGTCTGCGCGATGCTCACCGTGAATGGGCGTGGCCGGAGCGGTAGGGGCGGAGTCATGCCTTATTCACGGCCTCTTCGGGTTGCGCACCGCGAAGGGGCGGGGCCGGGCGTGCGCAGGCGCTCCGGTGTCTTTGAGGTCTATCGCGTCCCGAAGTAGCTCTAGGTGCGCGGGTTTCCTGAGCTGGCTCTGCCCTGAGGAGACAGAACTATATAAAACTCGGAAGGATGCATTGACTCCCACATTTCATATTGTTCGTGGTGAAGCGCAGCCACGCGCTCCTCTTGGTATTCGTTCTTTGGCTTCTCGGCACCCACCCTTCCTGCTATTTTTCTTCTGCCCAGCCTGGGCTATGCTTTATGCCTCGTCAACTTTGACTTCTGGGCTGTTTCTGGAAGGTCTCCATTCTTGTTTTAACTCTGTGTGCGAATAAACTTGGTATTCTAACAGCAGCTAGCCCATGTATCTTCATGCCAGGCACTTTTCCAAATGCTTTGTGAACATTAATCGATATCATCTGGACTCATCACACCTAATCTCCATCCTCTCACCCAGACCCCCTGCTCTTAACTCCATGTTCTTCCATCCATAGTACTACTAGATTCCTCACTGGATGTTCCACAGCTTCTCTAGGCCAACGTATGTGAAGTTCGGAACCCCCATTCCTTCCCCTAAAACTGTTTCTCCCTTGATCTCTTCAGTGAATAGCATTGCCATCCACGTAGCCAACCAAGCAGCCAAGCCTCAAACGGAGCACCAATCTTAACTCACTTTTGGGAATCTGATCTGTCCCCAAATCACACATCATTTTCTCCCTCAACCCCCAATTCTCTGCTGAACTCATGATGAGCTACGCTCATCTCCCTGACACCCAATTCTCTGCTACCGTAATATCTATTACACTACATTATGTTTCATGCATCATGTTTTACCTGAACTAGTAGAAGAGCCATTTCAACCCAGTGTCTTACTCTCAAATCCAGCCTACATTGTCCAATTTCAGGGATTTTTCTCAAAGATTAGCAGATATCTGAATGCTTGCATTCATTTTTTTTATAAGAACTAGGCCAAAATTCAAACTTTTTCATCCTTTTAAGTCAGAAGGAAGATAAAGATGCCCTCTGACTCGGCCTCTAGCCATGATGGTACAATCATTTCTTGGTATCCTTGAGTCCAGGATCCTCCCAAAGTGACCAAAATCTGAAAATACTCAAGTCCTTTATAGAGAATGGCATATTATTTACTTATAACCTATGAACATCCTCCTCCTTACTTTAATCTCTATATTACCAATACAATGTAAATGTTATGTAGTTATTTTACTATATCATGCATGTGTTGTTTAATACCTATGAAATTGCCTGGGTTTTTTCCCCCCCTGAAGTACTTTTGAATTGAGGTTGGTTGAACCCCCAGATGTGAAGCCTGCAAGTATGGAGGGACAATCATTTGGAAGTCCTGACCAATGCAAGAAGGTGAGAAAATTGAGTGATGTGAAGATTGGAAGCAAAAAGTCAACATCATTATTATTGTCTAGTGTTCCTCATTATAGAAAACAAGATAATTGACAAATTAAGTAACCTGATAAGAGAGTTGTCCTCTGCAATAATAATACATTTCTTGAAAATTTATACAATAAGCCATCTTATACAATGATGAGGTGTTCATGGATTCAACTAACAAAAATGCATAAGATCTTTAAGGATAAAAATCTAGAACTCTTATGTGTAGACCTCAAAAGACTTGAATACACAATTAATGGGATAATATCTTAACTTTGAAAGAATATAACTTTTCCACCAAATGGTCTGTGTATTCAATGCAATTCCAGTAAAAATTCCAGCTCAATTGTACTGGAACTTGAGAAACTGGTTCTACAATTTTTATCGAAGAATAAATATCTACAGTCTTTTAAGATAATTTTGAAAAAGAAGAACAAAGGGGATGTCTTACTCTACCAGCATAAAAGCAAATTTCAAAAGCATAGTAATTAAAATAATATGATATTGATATAGAAACAGATAAGTGGAATAGTTTGGAGAATCCAGAAACAACTCAATTATGTATGTGACATTATAAAATATTGTGATGTGAGATAAAATCATATATCATTAGAGAAAGCCCGGATTATTTAGTAAGTGGCACTGGGAGTGTTGACTTTCTGTAATGGATAAAAAGTAAAATTGGATTCCTACCTCATCCCATGTACTTCAAGTAGATTAAATATATAGTTATTAAAGGTGAAAGTATAAAGCTGATAAATTAGCAGAGATAATAATACATCTGCGATAGGAAAGGATTTCTCATCACCTCCAAAGCATAATCCACAAGATGAGAAATGATGAGGGGTTTTTTATACCTTTATTTTATTTATTATTTTTTATGTAGTGCTGAGGATTGAACCTGGTGCCTTGCCTTACATGTGTTAGGGGAGTGCTCTACTGCTGAGCCATAACCCCAGCCCCAGAGAAATGATGAAATGAAAAATGTCTACTATAGACAAAATTAACAAATAAGCAATAAACTGAATTTTTTTCTACATCTTAAAACAACAGGCTATATCTAGAAAAATCAAGGAACTGCTGAAATCAGCTCAAAAAAAGAAAGGAAATCTAATTTAAAAATTAATGATAAAGGGCTGGGGTTGTAGCTTAGTGGAAGAGTGCTTGCCTAGCATGTGCGAGACACTGGGTTCCATTTTCAGCACCACATATAAGAAAATAAAGGTGCACTGACTATTAAAAAATTTTAAAAAATTAATGATAAAGGCCATTTACAGAAAGAGAAATAAGAACTGCCAAGTTGTGCAGTTTGGAGAATTTTTCACTGGTGGTCAGAGATATATATTATATAAGTCCTTCATCAGATACACACACACACATACACACACACACACACACACACACACACACACA